AGAAAAACTTACATTAAAGAGGACTAGTCACGTATGTTCTTGCAACCATCTACAGTAGAACCACACTCTGATTGATTTTCTATTCACACTGGTGACTTATGGTATTTTATTTATTTGTTTAACAAGTTGCATGACATCGTGTATATTTCAATGAGTAAACACATATATTATATATATTGGTGAAGCAATGAAGACAAATGAATCAGCAGTGCCCACCCCAGTATATGAAAAGATTATAAATGGTTCAAGATCAGGAGGGAAAAAGGGAAAATTATTGTGAGGGATAAAACATGAGTTACCCCCAGGATACACTATGATTGTTGCTATTCAGATAGGGTTAGTTATATTGAAGAAAAAGCTTCAATACAAAAAGCTGTGTAATACGGTAATGGTGAATATACAATATTCACCATTACATTTCCAATGTGAAGAATAGATGGCACCAAAAAATGTTTATGTCTGAACAAACTATTTCAGAGCTTAACAGGGACTAATTAAGCACTACCAGGACAAATACTGTATGTTTTTTGGGGAGGAGACTGATAAAGAAAAGAGGAGGATGAACTAAAAAATAAGGAAAGACATTAAGAGTAAAGAAAACACAAAAGGAAGAAATTAATAATAAAAAAATTGCCTTTTAAGAATAAAACATTTATAAAAATATAATTTCAGGCCATTAAAACATTTATTTTTACGTCTGCTTAAAAAAAGTTTTCTTAAAAGGGTACTTTACTTGGACAAACAAGCCTCATCAAAACAGATATTCAAATTTATTGAATAGGATCTAAATTACATGATAAACACTTTTAATTCCATAAAAAAAGATTGGTATTTTATTTTTAGTCACATGAATGATACATTTAGTACATACAATTTGAAATGTAAAAAGCATTCAAAAATGAAAAGAAGCATAAATGAACCAAATTAAAATAACATAAATCCAACATGGGGGTTGCAAAAGTTTTGGTTTATTAGACTTCTTTTTTTTTCATATATATTCCCCCCTGCAGTTTTTTCCATTAATTAAAATGTCTTTAAAAACACAATGACATGAATTCAACAAATTGTAGTAAACAGATAAATGGAGGCAGAAGATTTCTTTAATTCATCAATGCAGATCTGTTTTTCTGAGTAAAATTAAGTCAAATATCTGACAAAAGAGTGGAATTGAGAAGATATATAAAAAAAAAAAAACAATGTGTCATTGTTGTTACAATAAGTTTAATAGTAAGAACAGAAACATAGACTCTAGATTATGTTTTTAGTTCTTCAAAATGTCAGAGAAAAAATATCAAGATTTGACGCATAAAATATCTGATCTTGAAAAGTTTTTCTCTCTTTTTGGAAATATTAATTAACACTATAACATTGTTTAAAATTCTAAAAACATGACTTATATTTCGAGATAGTCTTCAACATTAATTACAAATTAACTAGAGAAAAGAGGTCAAAGCGGTATAGGATAGCTGTAACCTAAACCTTTCTTTTTATATTCCCCCCTGCAATTTTTTCCACTAATTGAAATGTCTTTAAATGCACATTAACATGAATTCAACACACTGTAGTTAACAGATAAATGGAGATGTCAATCAGTCAATCAATGCACACATTCAGCGACATACAGGAGCTCTTTCTAGCTGGGCACTGTTTCATTCACAACACCTGTCCCATCAACTAGGAATCAGAATCAGAAATACTTTAATATTCCCAGGGTGAAATTACTTTTGTTACATCAGTCCATCTGTAATAGAGTGACTAAGGGCCAGTTTGATATAACACAATTTTATACAATACTTATAATTACCGGTAGGGGGTTCCCGCTCCATCTTGCCATCAGTTTGGGGGTCCTTGGCCTGGAAAACGTTGAATAAACCTGATCTAAGCTAAATAATATAATGTGAGAAAGCAAGCATAGCTTGGATGTGTTTTAATCTGGCCCTATTAGAAGATAATGTAAAATGTAAATGGATAACAGTGTTATAATAAAAAAGCAACCAAACCAGTATAAAACATTTAAATCACTTAACATCTTCTTAACTTGACTTCTTAAGCTTTGCCTCCATTTCATGAAGCCACGTATGCTGGGAATATAAAGTGGGAAGACTTGCTCATTGATTCCACTGCCGGTAAATTGATGCAATATGATCTCATTGTCTGGATCAAATATGAGCACCAGCCCATGACCATAATTTACAAGCAACAGTACTCTCTGAGTGTTCCTCTTAAATGTAAATCTTAAAATACAATATCTTTCCCAGTTTTGTAGAAATGGCAACATTCTAAAATCGGACTCCCTAAAAACAGCTAAATCAAGACCAACATTTCCACTGACTTGAAATTCATGCACTTCTGTCACTTTTGAGAAATTTTGATTTTGACAGTTACTTTTACATCTATCCAAGTGGTTTGGGGCTTTTCTGTCATATGGTAAACCATTAGGATCTATAATCTGACTAGGCTTCATACTCTGAGCTCTCCCACTTTTGGCTTTTTTCTTATTCTGTACCTTTCCATTTTTTTTGTTTTTAGATCCTTGTATTTTCTCTTTTCCTCTCCAGATGTAAGATCTTTGATCTACATATGCTTCATTTATATTGACTTTGTCATGATCAATATGATCTGTGCACAAGACACAGAAATGGATGTGATCATTCAAGCAGAAGAACTCAAAAATCTGGTTGTGTTCCCTGCATATTTTCTCCTCCAGGTCAGGAACAGGTTCTGAAAGTTTGTGTCTTTGCAAGGCAGCTACTCTTAGATGAGGCTCTAAATGTTTGTCACAAAAAGAGGTTAAGCACACCAAGCAGGTTTTTGAGGCTCGGAACTTGTTCTCAGAGCAAATGTCACATGACACCTCCCAAGGTTTTACTAAAGATGAGGCATCAGCTGTCACACGTTTCTTAAAACCTTCCAAAACCTCCCTGAATGTGGTGTTGACCGATAGCTTGAGGTCCTTGTTGAATTTGCTGTTGCACAGAGGACACTGATATTCCTGCTTCCCTGTCCAGTGCCTGGTCAGGCATACCTTGCAGAATGTATGTCCACATGGAGTTGAAACAGGCTCAGTGAAGACGTCCAAACAAATGGAGCACTGGAACTGGTCCTCAGACAAAAAATCACTGGATGTGGCCATATCTGAAGGACAGATGTTTACAGTTTAGAACACTGTAACTGTTTTACTGATAAAAACTTGTAAAACTGTGTGTAGCCACATTTACCCTTATATCCCCTAAAGAACAAATGAAATATGGTCCAACAGTTTATAATTTATTCTTGGTAAAACTGCAGCTATGGTGTGAGGGCTCAAATTTGTAAAAAAAAAAAAAACTTAATTAATAAATAGCATAATAGAAACCAATTTATTTAGCAGAACAGGCTGAACGGCAGGCCTTCTTGGCGTCACGGGGGGATTCAATGCCCATGTGGGAAACAATCAGGAGGAACAGACTCCCCAGCTTTAAACCCAAGTGTTGTTGTTAAATTAGTTGACTTAGTGTCTGCAGGGTGCCTGAGGGGTCATGGGAGTTTGCACAACCAGTCCACATGTGTTTCTTGGAGATGGAGAAGACAGTTGACCAGGTCCCTTATGATGCCCTGTGGGGGACGCTTCGAAAATATGGAGTCAGGGACCCTTTACTAGGGTCCATCAGGTCTCTGTACAAGCGGAGCAGGAGTCTGATCTGCATTGCTGACTTTAAATCGGACCTGTTCATATCCTTTATGGACAGGATTTCAAGGTGCAGCCAAAGACCTGATGGGGTCTGGTTCAGGGTCCAGCAGATCTTGCTGGCTCGCTCCTCCACAGCATGCCCTGAGGCAGACTGCAGCAGAGGGTGAAGCTATCATAACATCAAATCGAACAATGAGATCCCAGGTACAAGTGGTGAATCGAGCCTTCTCGGCAGGATGACTGGAGTATCCCTTAGGAAGTGAGAAGCTCGGTCTTCGGGAGAGGCTTGGAGGAGAGCTGCTTCTCCACATAGAGAGGAGTCAGCTGAGGTGGCTCGGACATTTCAGATGCCCCCTGGATGAGCCGATAATGGTGTTCCAGGCACATCCCACCGGCAGGAGGCCGAGGGGGCGACTCAAGACACACTGGAGGGACTATGTCTCTTGGCTGGCCTGGAAGTGCCTTGGGCTTCCCCCAGCAGAGCTGGAGGAGTAGTCTGTGTGTGGAGAGGGAAGACTTGGATACTCTGCTTATACTGCTGCCTCTGCGGCCGGGGGGGCACAGGAGGAACAGGAGAAGACAAGTTTGGGTGAGTAGTTGATAACTGTGAAGGTTGGTTGGGTTAGAAAAAAATCATCTTCTGATTCAGTCATCTCACAAAACCCTGTTTAATAAATCCATCCATCTTCTACTGCTTGTCTTTAGAGTCTCAGGAGGGCTGGTTCCTACCTGCAGTCTATGGGTGAAATGCAGGGTACAAAGACATAAAAACATGAAAACACACATACACACAAAAATATACACGTAATACATCACACTGTCTTTGCAAGGTCCTTCCATTTATTTCTATCCTTTTTTGTCTGGCCTAACCAAGACCCTTACCCTAAGCCTAATGCATTAGTAGGGTAAAGACATTCATATTCTGGTTAAGCTACAATGGGAAAAAAAAAACAAAAAAAAAACACAGGGCATGTATTGCTTATTTTTTTGTGTGTCTAAAGTAAATTACATAGTTAAAAGCTACATTATTGTTCTAATAACTGCATTAATTAAACTGACCTCTTGCTGCCATCTACTGACTAGGAGGTATATATCACGAAGGAAACAAAGTAGGAACATCATACTACAGTTTGTTTTTTTCAAACCAAGTTATGCTGTTCAAGGAAGTAGAAATAAGTTTCAGTTGTTTTCTTGACGAAAAACAACAAGAAACCTCACTTTTTCTCAGTAAATGTAGTCTAAGTTCTCCTGAATTCAACTTCTGCAGCACACAAATAAGGACAAGTCTTTCTCTCTTAACTAAAACAGACCAACCAGTATCCAACAGCAACCCTCATAAATTAAGAAGCTAAAGTATATTGACTTTCAGTTCTCTACAGCTGATAGGTTTCACTCTGATTTACTGGCAATGCCCTCACCTTGACATGCTTTCTTTTGTTTTCGATCACCTCGGGCACTTTCTCCAGGAGCTTCGTAAGGTGTTGATCACAGCTTTGTTGTTCCCAAAGGTGATGTATCCAGGAAACACTAGCTTTGAATAAATGTAAAACAAACAAAGCAGAATACTTTAAGGCTAATACAATCTTCTTCCCATTTAAATTTGGACAAACTGGGGTTTATCAGTGAGTAGTAGGTTGGAAACATTTTAGTTTCATTTCTTTGTAAATGATCAAGATAAGCTCCTCCCATGTTGCCACATGTTCCACGGATGTTATGTAATAAGAAATCATTACCAGGTGCAAAATGTCGAGGCAAAAATAACCTGGATTTAGAGGAGGAAAATAATCATTAGAGCTGGATCTGTTTTGACATAAATCATTTATTTATTGCAACTGTAGGGTGTGTTTTTTTCTGATACTACAATTAAAACCAACTTTGTTATATTTAGAGTTTTTATTCTTAGAGATAGGAAGTCTAAAGTCAGTGCTGAACTCCATGTCCAAATTGAGTGAGAAATGCTTTTATTCTGTAAAATTATTTTGTGTGAAATTGCCTTTAATGTGCAAGCAAATGCTAAGCATAGTTTCAGAAAAATAAAAACTATTTTTCGTCTTCTATCTTCAGTATCATAAAACACTTCAGATTCCATTCAGCCCATGGGCTTGATAATATACAGAACCTCCTAGATTGCTAAAAAGTTCCATCTTTTAAATGTGCTCTGCTTTGGGGATGATTTCCATGACAAGGTTTGCATTCTGCCACAGAGAGTTACACTTTTAACCAAAACAGAAAACAAGAAAATGTTAATCAGAGCAAAAACCATTCAAAACTAAGTCAGTTAGGTTTGTCTGTTTAGCATCATGCTCAGTGGAACAGTGCTGCCTTGCAGCTAGGAAGGCTGTGGGTTCGATTCCCGGCCCGAGGTCTTTCTGCATGGAGTTTGCATGTTCTCCCTGAGGATGCATTGGTTTTCTCCAGGTACCTCCCACAGTCCAAAAACATTACTGTTAGGTTAATTTGCTTCTCTAGATTCTTCTCCTTAGGTGTGAGTGGTTGTTTGTCCTGTCTGTCTCTGTGTTGCCCTGTGATGGACTGGTGACCTGTCCAGGGTGTACCCCGCCTTTCGCCTGTAGACAGCTGGAGATAGACACCAGCACCTCCCCCACTTGGGATTGAGCGTCAGAAAATGCATGGATGGATGGATGGATGTTTAGCATCATAAGTAAAAGAAATACACCAATCTTATACCCAGATCAGATATCAACTTTGATATTGACTAATTAGCTGTATATCATCAGGTATTGGATGATGCCTATCCAACATTCCTATCCTGTCATTTCTTTTTTTATTATCATATGCAGAACAATGCAGTTACAGTGATCTAAAGTGAGTTTCAGGCAGCTGTTATATTTCATAATAAATTCTAATTTATCTGCATGCAGTGTACCTTACATGGACTTGTTATTTGTTTATTTCTGTTGCTAATGTACAGTACACTTTATTTGTTAATATATAGTGTCAAGTACATTTAAAGTATATTTAATTATGTCATGCCTGGTGCCTTCATTCTAGGTATAGTTTCCTTCATTCAACAAAAGTATTAGATTGGTATCGGCTTATATGCTAAGTTCGGCTATCAGTATTAGATCGGCTTGGAAAAATCTGTATCAGTGCAACACTAGTAAATGACCTGTACTTGTATAGCACTTAATCAAGTCCAAGGACTCAAAAGCACTTGACTTAATATTCAGACATTAACCCTTTCTTGTACACATTTTCAAGTTGATAGCATATGTACTGCCATGATGGGTTCACTAAAAACGACCCAAGTATGCAGAACACCACTGACGGACACAAGGATGAAAGTTTAACAAGTTTATTTTGCAAAGCACACAGAATGTACTGGTTCAGGTTCAGGGCCTGGATACTGGTTCACCGGAGTCTGCGTGAGAGACAGTTCAGTTAGCGTTGCCAACAGAGACTTGATTTCCAGAAGATTACTGATTGTACCTTGAGGGTTCTTGAGGTTAGCTTTGGGAGAGTCACTGTTGGATCTGGAGAGGAGTTCATCAGCAGAGTCCGTTTGCTGCTTCAGCGTCTCACGTCTTAATGAACAGACCTTGGTTTTGGGTTTTCCAGCTCTAGTCCAGAGCTGCTTGGAGGTGCTCTGAGATTCTTCAAGTTTGGCTCTGAGGGTCAGCTCGGCAGGTTAGCTCTTCCTGAGCTTCACAGAGGAGACACTGGTTTCCTGGAAGACAGAGACAGTAGTTAGAATCCAGGCTGGATTCAAAGTCACAAAGTTACTCTGAGGATCTAGGCTTAGGCGCTGACCAACTGGATCAACACTGCGGCGTTGAGGCAAGGTCTGAAGACAGCTTAAGTAGTGGATCCTCTGATGATCTTGATGAGCTGCAGCTGTGCAGGAGGCTCCCTCAGAGGATCCACGGCGGACTCTGCTGGAGAAATTTGGCCTTTCTCCAGCTCCCAACAGTACAGCATATTTAAACAGCCGTTTAAGTGCTTGCCAGTGAAAATAATCAATGTTAACAGGACCAGCAAATATTAGCTGTATTTCAGCAATAAAAATGTAACTAATTAACCACAGAACTATAAAGAAACATCAAAAGGTCGGGTTTGCAAAGATTCTCCGGAATGGTGAGGGTTCTTTGTGGATTTAATAAATAAAAAGACAAAAAACTTGTCATAACTCCTCCAATTTTTTATCATATCTGTCTCATCTTTTTCTATACTTTAATATTGGGTCAGAAATCTTATTTAGGAAATAATCAAACTTCCCATCTGACACTAAAACCCTTTCTTACTGATTCAGATGCACAGTTTGTTTCTAGTAAATAAAAGCAAATGTGTTCATTGCTTCATTGTGGTGCAGTGTTAATGGTATGGAGTTTTATTTATTTTTTTATTTTTTTAAAGCCGCAGAACTTATGTTTGACCATTTTTGTTTTAGTAAGTACAACCTGAATAAACCCTGAAATACACATGTAGGACAGATCTCATTTCTTGTTTTAATCATTTAAAAACATAAACACTTTCTAAAACTATGACGGCCAAGATGAGTAGAAGAGCAGCTAAAGGTAAAAGGAAAAAGGATCGAAAGAATCACATAGAGTTAATGATAAAAGACATAAAGAGAGGAAGAGGGGGAAATAATATGTTGGTATGATAAAACAGAAGAAGTTAAAGCAAAATATATTATAATTATTCAGATCTAGAAATGGAATATAGCACAAAAGAATAAACTTTAAGTTGATCTTCTTTCACATATGTCTAAATTCTATTCAGATGTGCTCCTCACTTTTTTTAATCTTCCCATCAGGCCAGTTTTCCAACCAGAAATCCTGCCTCCATGTGTTTTTCTACAACCACACCTCTCTGCACCTGCTTCCTGCAGCTATCAAAACAAACAGTGAGCTCTGAAAGAAAGGCTCGCTGAGGATTAAAGCAGCAACTTTCTTTAAAAACTTTTAATTGCACACCTTTTATAGGACTCCACTTTATTAATTTATTTTGTAGGTAAGTAACAAAGAATGCACTATATTTTCTGATAACTAATTTTCACATAAAAGTAACAGACAAAAATGTTTGTACCTATTATACCTCATTAAACCAAAAACCACTTGTAACATTTTTTTCTTTAAAACTAATTAATCTAAACTTTTGTACAGTTCAGCTATAATAAACAAATTTCGATCACAGAGTAATACAATCCAAATGCTTTCCTTTGATATAAAGTTGTAATTTACATATGAATTCTATGTGAACCCCTTTGAAGCAGAGAAATATTAACTACCTGTTTCTCTTTCTCAACTCACCAGTAGGTGTCACTCTCGCGTTATTTTTATATTTGTGTGCTCATACAAACTTTTTGGATAACAACTTCAAAATCCTTCTCAGAGATAGTTGCAGACGGAGTAAAGCTGGATCCCCAACATTCAAAGCATTTATATGAGTTGCATCCAAACTTGCATTGCAAGTAAATAGCAATCATCTTCGTTTTCCTCTGTAAAGGTGATCAGAGTGTAATGGTCTGCATCATTTTTCTCTTTGGGTTGCAAATAGGATCTCAAAACAGCAGCGCTGGTTGCATCCAGACTCACCTCCACCTAAATGCAGTAATTCCTGATGAAAATGTGTCATTTTCAATGAATGAGATAATATCTTCCCTAAAGCATTTCAATTGTTAGACTAAATATAAACTGCGATTTTTGTTTGGTTTTATTAAAAGCGCACACTTTTGCACTTTTCGCCTATCTTGCACTGAATTCGGGTGGAATATCTCACTAGTTGATAATTAAAAACGCACCATAGAAGCAAAAAAATGAATATAATAAATAATAATAACATTTCAAAAATAGTTTTAAATGTAAAAAATATTATATTTTTGTTTAGGTAGAGTTCCATGAGTCTAATTTACACGCACAATTTCATTAGTCCACTTTCCTGTGTTATGATGATGACTGATTATGGGAAAACTCTTCCAGTGTGATGTTGACAAATTTTTCTTTTTTTCTTGTTTTTTTTTTTTTACTTCAAATGTTAAACATCGTCCAGCTTGTGTTTAAAGATGCGTAAAGGACGGATCGCGGGTGGAACTCCACCCCACAGCTCCAGGATCTTTGGGCGGAGCGGAGGTTCAGCTCGCGCGCATACTAGTTGGCTGCGCGTCATGCGTGCGTGATAAGTCCCGCCGAGAACTTAATAGGGACCAAAGTCCAGCCTAGGGCTAGACTTTCTGTGAGTAAGCGTGCGAGGGCGCGCTGGGAACTTAATCACATGTGAATCTTTTTTTTCTTTTCTTTAATAGAAATGCTCCAAAGATGGCGGTGGTAGCAGCGGGAGCCGGAGTCTCGAGTGGCTCCGGAGCGCTTAAAAGTGGATTTTTGGAGGTTTTGGTGCGGGAGAGCTGGCACAAAGTTTTTGCCAACTTAAACGAGGAGGCGCTCACGTTGAGCTGCGAGGACTGCGGCGTCAACGACGGCATCAGCTCCAACGGGGTCACCAATGGGTCTTACCTGGACAACAGCAACACTAACTCCAACAACGGTCCCCAAGCAGTGCGCACCGCCTTCACGGACCTCCCGGAGCGAGTCCCGGAGGCGATCGCGAACAAAAAGCGGTGCGTCAAGGTGACCAAGCAGGATATCGGGGGACTCGGGATAAGCATTAAAGGAGGGAAGGAGAACAAAATGCCCATACTCAT